ACTCAACTTTTTACCGAGTTATTATGATATTAGTTATTATGTCACCTATATGATATAGTGATCCGATCCTGTCGACACCGACATATATAAGTGTGTATGTTTCATGATGCTTTGAGCTTTTAGACTGAAAGACTAGTTTGCATGGAAACAAACATCTGTTGATCCGTCTCGACGGACTGTAGAACTGTTGATATCAGTTTAGTTGATCAATTTAGGTAGAAGGCAAATGCTCGAATTATTTTATCATGGGACACATTACGCAATCTGTAATTATAAAAACTCAAGAATATTTCATTTTTATTAGTTCAGTTTATATTTCCAGTTTCTAATTTCCAGTCCATTAAGCCAAACTAAATATATTTCAATACTGGAGTTATTAGATATAAGATATAACTCTTTCCACACTCATATAACAAAAATGGAGACTACAAATGTCTGAAGGTTAGAAAAAAAAAACAAATTTTTTATGAATATTTCATTCTACACTTTTGGCCAAGTTTCCTTTTTGTTATAAAGAGCCCCCATACAAAATCTTTCGTAAAAATATAGATAAGTTTTAAAAAAAACTTATATTTTAATGCCCTATATGCCCTTTTGCAAGGTCAGAAAATAGGTTCTTAAAGTTTATATTTAGGATTATTTGAACAAATATAATAAGATTATAGGGAGTACTTTTTGAGTGCACATTCAATCTATTTTCTTGATTTATAGACAACTGATAATACGCTTAGAAGATTCAGCAAAATATATATTTTAGCCGCCATATTCATGATCCAGATCGTTGAGGCCCAACTGTTCTGGCAACAGGGTATCTGGTAACCAGGAGCTGCCCAAAAGCAGCGCCCTCACTTGTTTTTCGCTGTGTTGCATCTGCTTATCCACATGCGCCTCCGCCTCTTTAAGGTATTTATATATTCAAATTGTGTTTGCGCCAATTTTATTATTGCATTTCCTTTTTTTTCGTACTGTTTTTGCAACTTTGGCTGGAAAAGTTTTCGCTCGACTTTTTCTCATTTTGTTTTTTTTGTCATTTTTGTTTATTGTCTTGGACGCTTTTTGCGTGGCATTTGCATTCGGGGCAGCAACTTTTGACCAGCAGCTGAAACTTTAATTACTTGTACTAGCAGCAGACAGCCCGTCAACCAGACAACCAGACAACCAGCCAGTCAGTGAGTCAGGGGGTCGCAGTGTCAGAAGGGGAACAATTGTGTCAGTAGTCGGCGAAAAACTATAGCATACTTAGGAGCGCTCGCCTAATTTCCCCCTTGAGCCGCTGTCGTTGCCAACTTCAAAGCACTCTGCTGGTGATGCTGCTGCGACTACTTGTTGTGGTGGTTGGACTCTGCACTATGGGGAGCATGCACAACTTTTCTGGCAAAAACACATTCTCTGAAAGTGCTTCAGATAAAAAACTTTTGACATAAAACATTCACAAGCCTGCAATGTTTCATACTCTTAACATAAAGCAATCCTGTTAAGCTAACAGCTGTTAGACACAGCATCACACAAACGCTCGTGTTTGATTTGAATGCTTTTTATACCCTTCTTGAGGGTATTATAATTTTGTAATGAAATGTGTAGCGCATGGCAGGAGACATCTCCGACTCCATAAAGTATATATATTCTAGATCAGCATCAACAACCGAGTTGATATGGTCCTGTCCGTCTGTCTGTTTCTTTCTGTGGCAGGTAGTACATATGTCGAAACTGGGCGGATCGGACCATTATATCATATAGCTGCCATTGTGACAATCCGTCGAAAAGTTGGTTCTGAAATAGAAACCTTCTGTTATATTAAGATAACTTGAGTAAACTTGGGGTTTATTAGTTCCATTATGATCCTTATTTATATGCAAAATTTTATTAACATCGCACCACTATATCATATAGCTGCTATGCGAAAATACAATGGAAAGTAGGATCTTATGAGGCAAAATATTCTTTTTCACATATATTTCAAGTGTATAAGAAACTAACGCTTTGGCATGAGAGCATTCGGCAGTGGAGAGATCTTTTACAATTGAAAAACTAAAAACCTGAATGGGCATTTGATAACAAAGGGTAAGTACAACTCATGCAACCATATATTAATTGCTTCCATCTTCTTCACATCTTTAACATTCTCCCAAATCGGAATTTATTTTTACTTGTATATAAATGTTCGCATGCCAACAATTTGTGTCCACAAAAAAAACAATATTATTTGTAATAAGATAAAATAAAACACTCTGTTACTCTGCCTTGAGCTAATTTTTTAAAAACAGACCCAAAAAGATGCCCCTTTCTTTGAGTTATTTTTTCCAGAAAAACCGGTTGAATTTTCCATAGTCCTGTTGTTGGGCCTGTGTTCAATGGTCTGTCTATCTGCTTAAAGCCCAAACACATCACACACACACACACACACACACCCGCACACTTACACATACACGCTGAGCCGTTTATTTTTGTATTTTTTTTGTTGTATTCTATTTTTAGCTGTCCTGGGGTCGCGTGTCCTCATCCTGAAGGATTAAAAACAGGTGTAAATTGTGCATGGGGCAACTAAATTTGAAACTCTACCCTCCGACAACCTCACTACAAAGCACTGCAGCTGGAAATGTGACCTAATTTGGCTGATGCGCAAATGAAATTGTGAAGCGAGCACTCATTGCCGATAAGCTGACACAATATTAAAGCCTGTACTCATTAGGCATGCATATAAAGGAATAATAATGTTATTCAAATGGAGATATCTTCAAGCAAAACATAAAGCAACTAATTTCTTAATCCTCAGTAGATGTCCTGTCTAAATGATCTTGCCACTGAGACAACTCAGCAACGAGTATCCCAGAAGATTATATTTTCCTGCTATGCATGCATACACAAAAGAACCCATGCACGCTTCTTCCTTTTACTTCTCTTTATATTCTTACGTAACTTCGGTGCTTGCAGTCCGATCTTTATTCAATTTCCAGGGCTTGAGTACATACCTAAGGGTAAGGCTCTTTCTTTTTACCAATGTTGTAGGGAATAGCAGCATGGTTGATCGATATTTATCGAAATTATGCAAAAGGGATGGGGTATCGAAGGAAATATATATACGCGCTGTGCTTAAGGTACTTCTATATATTTCCAATTTGAATCTTTAGCCTTTGTAGTTTCCGAGATCGATGCATTCACACAGACTGACAGACGAACTTGTCGAAGTGGACTGAGCTTATCGTCTTTCTATACATTCTTTATGGAATTGAAAATGCTTCCTGCAGACTGTGACATACATTTTCGCAAAAACATACTCTTGCTATGGGGGCAGGTAAAGTTTTGCAACCTTTATTTAATAGGTATATCCAGTAAAAACAATGATAGTCATAATAATGATAATAATAATAATGATAATTATAATAATATTGATAGCTTGATCTATCCCTGCTGTGTCTTAAGTTTAACCGCGAAGAAGATTCTTGCTTGTTTGTATAACCTTTTCGAGGGTATTATCATTTCATTCCGAGCCCTAAAAAGTATTTAACTAGTCAGTTTCAACAGCAAAGATAAAGGAGTTGGCGGTCTGCCTTCGTTCGTGTTCGTCGTGTTTCATATGTCGAAATCAACCGGAGCAGATCACTCTACCATAAATCTTATCATGCGTACATGTACATAAGATTCTTTTGAACATATCTTGACTAAACACAACAGGGCTAAGTTCCATTAATAGTTATTAATTAAATTTTCAGCAAAATTTCATCAAAATCGGACTATAGCTTGGACAATACTGTCATACTGCTCCTGCAGGGACAATTGAAAATATATCGTATATCTGATCCTTTATGCAAGAGTATTTTATTGATGCAATTTTTAAAAGTGATCGGAATATCACGAATATCTGTCGTACGAAAAGCTTTTCGCTATAATCGATCTATTTAAATATGCATTGCAAACGTGTTTCAAGCTTTTATGCGATTAGCCTCCGACTCCTTTTCGAAACTCTTTTGGAAAATTACCCATTACTCACCTCCGTGTTTCGGAAAATTCCCCACGCAACTCTGGATCGTTCAGTCGCAAAGTTACTTGTGAAAGATTATTAAGGACGCGCTTTACGCTATTTGCACAATATATAATTGTTTCTAATCATAATTTCGGCATGAACTGAATGTTTGCCTTTTCGTTGTTTCTGTTCCTAAAGATTGCCGAAAAAAGATGGAAAAATTAAAAGGGAAATACAAGAGAAATATGTATGCAGCTTTAACATGCAACAGTAGTGCGAACATTGAAAATAATTTAAATGAATTATATAAAAAAAATTTATTTTTCTATATCTTTATGTCATGCGAACTCTTTGTTTACTACTGGATCGAAATAGATTATTTCTTTGATTGTGTTTCGCTTGATTTTAATCGTTGGGTTCGCATTTTGAAATATATTCGAAGAAAAACAAAAAACTATTAATCAACAAATGTGTTTTTGCAATAGATGAAGGTGTTTTCTATATAATATATGCATATGATACGAAACCTGGCCAGCTGAGAACGTGTCTATAGAAAGAATATCCAAGAGTGTCTTGAATTTAGGAGAAGCTTTTGCTGATGGATGCTGAAATAAATGGACACACTCGTATTTATGTACATTAAAAACCAAATATGTATATTTCGCTTCTTCTATAAACTGAATACAGGGATTTAGCTGAAAATTTTAGTTTGCTCATATCTATATATTTATTTTTGTTCTTCATTTGTTAACTTACATAATATTGTATCTTTAATAGAGCTCTCGCCTTTCGCGTCTCCGGCAGCAGTTCGATTATTGTGTTAATTTCAATTTCAATTTCAATTTGAATGCATAAACACACTTATGTAAATTATATTTTTGCTTAATCCTTTAAATATTTTATAGTTTTTTTTTCCTTCATTAAATAAACATTTAGTTGTTATCCTTTGTATTTCATATGTCTAGCTAAATACTCAATTAAACAACATTGTTTCAGTATTATTTGTATTATTTATATAATTTTGCTTTTCTCAATTGTCTTTGTTTTTTTTTTTTAGAATTTGCTAGGCTTACACGTCTAAAGTTAAATTTTGATTGACAAAAATTCATTCACGCCAACAACAATAAATATAGTTAAATATTTATTATAATACTTTAAATCAATTATAACAATATATAATACTTAAATTTCAGACAATCTTTGTATGGGGTGCGTTTTACTCGTTTGGGTGGGCTGGGGATGGCTTTTTGTTTGGTTTTGGGCGAAAGTTGGGGGCGTGTTGATCAAAAACACATTGTCATCATGCATCATATTCTTCAACATCCTCTCTACTACTCTGAGCATTTACATGCAGCACCAAGAAGTATGCAATGGACTCTTATTATGGCGTTTTTGTTACAGTGGCGTCCGAAAAGTTATGACCGCCTCAACTGTTTTTGTATATATCTTATTGTTTGTGGCCTAGCATATTGAGGCTTGATTATATCGTTATTCATCTAAATTTGTATCAACAATATTTGTAGCATACTTTAAGGTTAAATATTAAAATAAGCAAACTTGTTTCCGTGTAAACTCAATAATTGGCAATGCGTTTAAAGCTTAAAATAATTTTGAATAATAATGACATGGAATAATACCCTAAAACTCGCATTCAGATTGCCTTCAAATTTAAGAAATTTATCAGAATAACTCTTTTTTTTTTTTAATGTTATCGAAATTAAAAAATTAAGCACCTTTCTGCCTTCGAAATGTATGTGATAATGTTAATCGTCAAACCTATTAGTATGAATATGAATAACCTTGTGCTATCAAAACTAATTCCGGATTCGGCACTTGGCTGATCTTAGATTTTTATAGAAAACCAGCTGACCTTAAAGGAAAACAAATTATTAAGGGATTTAAAGTATTATTATGTTCGAAAATCTATAAACACGATCGCTAGAAAGTACAATGAAATCCTTTTTGTCCACCTCTGATCAAATTACAATTCTAAAGAACGTTAACTTAATGCGATTTATCCTATATAAATAAAAAAAAATAGATATATATATATATTTGTAACTCAATTGCGAATGTGGGAAATCGTATCGAATAAGTCACTAAATAGGGCTGCCAAACATATTAACGATTGGTGAATTCAAGTTCTGAATAGTTTAGGCATCCAATGGCCACTCATACATACATATGTATACAAAGTTACACACTTATCTATACCATACACATACAAACTAATACTATATTTAATTGTGTGTAGTGTACTCTTAGGTGTCTATTTTAAAAAAATACATTTCCTCAATCATCATGCACTTCATAACCTGTTCTAAGCGCATCTGTGAAATAGCTGTCAATGCGAATATAGCATGAATACCTTCTATACATGTATATATATATACATATATATGTATATGTATGTATATATATTATACTACAGTATGCTGCGCTCTCTGTCTGCGGTATTCGAATGCGTGTTCCATATGTTGCCTATGATATACCTCTAATAATACTCAAAAACGCAAGTCTAAACATTGTAATGTCCCACATTGATGCGAACTGTTTTCGCTTCCGATATATACACACATTAGGTATACGTACAATGAATATCTCTATGTATATATATACATATATATATATATATAATATATATATATATATATATATATATATGTGTTAATATCTATATGCTGATGCGCTTTCACACGGCCGTCTCATGATCAGTCTCGTCGATCCGCCCCAGACGCCAGGAATTGGGATCGCCGGCTGCAATGAGAAGTACACAAGATTTTCGTTTTTGTTTTTGTTTTCGTTTTTGATCAAGATCGAGTTTCAAGTTTAATAAGAGCGTTTACATGAGACACAAAGGGCGGTTATAAATAAAACATTGAACCGGCCGCACTCCACGCCACAACACAACACAACACAACACAACGCAACACACACCCACGCTATAGACTCAGGCAGTGGGTGTATGAATTGTGGGTGTGGCACCGTATTATGGTGGAGTGGGTGGGGGATGGGGGGAGGTGCGGGTTGATATTATTGACAATGTTAAAGGGTAAACGATGAAGATTAAATCTATCTTTCAAAATCAAACCGAGCATGCAAGCTACGAGAAAGTATGTTCAATAACTACGCACGCACGCACGCACACAGCCAAACGTTTCGCTCACACAGACAGGGCACACGTACATTAGCGACAAGCACAAGGAGCACACGGCTCAGCAGAGAGGCACGCACACAGACAGACAGACAAACAGACGGCCAGACAAACAGACAAACAGATTCGGTTAGATAGTTGGTTAAACAGCTAGATATTATATATGTAGATAATATATATATAATTTATTAGTTAGTTAGTTAGTTAATTAGACTACAACTACTGTTGCATTCGATCGCCGGCTGGGTTACTCTCTCTGGGGTTGGGGACGAGGTGTTTTGTTGGTGTTCTTGGGGGGGGGGGGGGAATACTGGAAATGCAACTTACCACAATCATAATACTTCGATATCCTGGGCAGAGCTGTTACCATTGGTTGTTGTTGTTCGTGGTTGGGTGGTTGTTGTGGTTGTAGTGGTGTTGTTGTTGTTGTAGTAGTTGATTAACGTTTATGAACGATTTATATATATATATATACAGTTATATATATACAAGCATATATATATAAATATACATATATGGTATACGACGTTTTTCGAGTACATACGACAAAATTATAGGCACCCGAAAAATATAGAAAATCATTGGAAAAATTCATAAATTCGTTGGATAATATTTTAAACCAAAATCTAAATAAAATACAATTATGTTCAAAATGTTAAGGATAGTGCGAGTCATACATACACCCGCACACACACACCCACGCAAGCACACACACGCATAGAGATCAGCAGCAAAACCTAGATAGTATTCCAAGTAGAATATCAGGATATTGACAGAGCTTTTACGATCAATACAAACTAGTATAAGCACGAGAAGTGGGCGGTGGGCGGTGGGCGTAAACAATTTCAAGATTGTGTCTAAACAAAATTGCCACTTGCAAATCATTTGCGTAAATACTCGTGTTGGCAGCTCGTTTAATAAGTGTGTCATGGGAGCAATACTTAATATATGTGCATGCATACATACATACACACATACTTACATAGAGGTGCACATAAATAGATCGCCTGGCTATGTGATGCAATTGAACGTTATTAATAAACGTGCTAATTTTGTTTATGACAATTAGTCAATATGCGGAAATCATTTGTAGGTCTTTTTACAGCTACCAAATGCCTGTATACTATGTATAATTATATATAATTTTACTTAAGAAATGCATCGATTTATTATAGTTCGACACACTGACAGAAAACGGTCAACGCCTTCATTTCCAATGTTCTAATAAATTGTTGAGGTATCATTTTAGACTGAACATCATGGAATTACTTTGTCAAAAAATTCCAAAAAAACATTGCTCAAACTAATCGAAGCTGTTTATTAAAATTCACTATTAGCACTAAGAGAAAAACAACTGTCTCCAAAGTTTAATTTCGTAAATCACAGCATTTTGTTGGCGAATACTTTATTATTGTCCAAATTGTACACAATTACGCTCGTATGGCGCTTATTCGGACTGTAAATCAATAAGAATTTCAATTTTATTCCAATATATTTTGCCAATTGAAAATCTATATTCACTCGGCTTATAGTTATTTATCTATTCAAGGTTCCATTCGATCTCTTGAGTTCAAAACTCACGACAAAATTTTTCTTTGGAGGTGAGAAAATATAATATTTTAATTCAAATTAAGGCTGCAAACTGTTTTTGTACTAAACAAGTTTGAGCCCGAAACTAAAATCTATTCTTTAACATGAACCAAACCTTATGCCGAATTAGCTGGATGAAGGAGACCCGAGCCTAAAGCTGAACCATATTTCTCACACAAATGCTTTGATTTAAAAGAATATTTGGAATTGATTGATTAATTTCTAGTTAATATGTTCAGATAATAAAATTATTTCGATAAATAAAAAGATGTAGATGTAACAAATTTAATCGATTAAAAACAAACTTGAATTGTTCTTATTGCGAATTGTGAGAAAGTTATGAACCGAAGATTCCAAGAACCTGAATTTGGGATGAAAGTACAACTTAACTAGATCTCATTGCGTTTTTATTCTCAAATCTGGATTAGGCTCTAATCAACTATTCCTAGATATTCATCACATTCTAGCATTTTCCGCTCTTTACGGCCTTCAAGTGTATTTCTAATGGTTCTGCTGGTAACACCTGGAACTGGGAAGATACGTGCGCGTATGATGAAAATTGATAGTCCGGCGCAGAGAGTGAGTGCGAGTGAGTTAGGGTGAACACGATGCACTGCGTCAGAAGCGGCAAATCGATGGCCATGCGAAAAAAAAAAAATCAAAACAAAAAAACAAAACAAAATACAAAACAATTCAAAACGGAAGCTCGTCAACAAAAACAAAAATGATAAATTGGCACAGTTGTTTGCATACTTTATTCCTCTAACAATGGCACGTGGCCCAAGTGTACACTGTCGCCGCAGTGCGCATTGCGGCCCAGATGCTAGAGGAGGGGATGAGGACGAGCAGGCGGGTGCTCGCGTGAAGCAGCTAGCGGCTAGCGGCAAGCGGCTAGCGGCCGCCCGTCGGCTGCACTTTGTGTGTAAGTTTATGGGCATGCCCAAAGTATTTACAGATAGCCTCAGCCTGGTTATCAGCAATTGTCGTTTGGCTGATGCGGGGGGTGCGGGGATGGGAACAGGCGGTGTGGTATATAATTTTTAAATTAAATAAAAAATATTTTGCTACGATATGATTATTTTTATTATTATTATTCATTTAATTGTGAATTAAAATAAAAAGAAAATAAACACAAAAATAAAAACAAAAACAAGTCAATACCATTTGCGCAAAATTAATGTTAATGATACGCAACAGCCGCCGGGGCCCGGGCCCGGGCCCGGGCCCAAAAGGTTCAGTTCGATCGGTTGGTTCGTTTTTGGATTGCCTTTTCGTTTGGGTTCGTGCACGTGCTTTGCATGCGCGCGCCGCTCAATTAGCCGAGACGCGAACCCAGGGGAAATGTTGCCAAAATGTGGCCAAATGTAAAACTTCATCAATTAAACAAGTTAATTCAGCTGCTGTTAATACGATCATTTTTTCGTTTTGGTTTTTTTTTTTTTATATCTGGCTTTAGTTATTATTAATATTTTTTTGTTTTGTTTTTTGGCTTGTTTACAACATTCACATTGATTCCGCATTTAATGTTCTATATAAGTATGTTAGGTGTATGATACAGTTTAATATATATATATAAATATATGTATATGTATATGAATATAAATATACGTACATGTATGTACAACGACTAATATGCCAGCTTAGGCTATATATGTATGTACTATATGCACATCGCTTAGTATATTATGTGTGTATATGTATGCGTGTAGATATAGATATTAATTACAATTAATTTACGCTTTTATTTACTCTTCATATCTTCTCTTTCGTTTTTTTCTTGATCAATTCAAATCGTATTAATATGCAAATCAATCAGCGATTCAAAAACAAACTCATTAACAACAAACAAAAAAATAAAGTGAAATAAAAAATATAAAATAAAAGAACACAGTGTGCAAAATCCAAATAGAAATTAATAATAATAAAACAAATGTGATAATGATAGGCAAACGTATATATTTATAACTAAAATTGCTTATGTGTCCGCACAGTAAAAATTTTCCATTTTATGTGGAACGGAAGTCGAAACTTTTTAGAAATTGCTTATTGATTGATTGTATCGATTATTTTGTAATATTATTATTATTATTATTATATATTTTATGGTCTATTAACATACTCAGCTTTGCTAAAGGAATCAATTGGTGATCAGTGATCACTAGAATATGGCCAAGCAGATGGCGCCGAACTTTGATCTTTAACTATATCCATATCCAAAAAAAAAAAAAAAAAACAAACTGAGTGCCTTGTAAATCAGTTGCGTAATGCTAAACATTTGATCTTTGAATACAGTGTCGATCACTTGACGATCATGACTTAGTTTTCGGCTGTAAATCACGATCACATGCCGCGAGGAACACAGCGAATTGCATGGAGAGTTTTTTAGAGCTAACAATTTTGAATTATAATTCAGCCGAACGATCGCTTAAAATGTGCCAATTGTGACGCACGATCAGTGACTACGTAATGTGAGTGGAATTGACTTGAAGATCTGAATGGATCTCGAATGGAAACCTATTTAGCGCCTGCCGCAACTGTTGGCTCTCATAGCCAAACATTTTGCAACGAGTGTAAATGGAATTTTCGTTTGTTTAGCTGAGCGTTAAACAAATTTAGGAATTTTACAAAAGTGCCTGGCAACAGGTTAAATCGAATATCAATTAAATTTACTTTGTGTTATTTCTTGCTTAGAGTTAGACGAACATTCAAGTGCGAGTGCGTGCGATGAGTTGAGGATCGACGATGACGATGACGATGAAGATGATAGATGGATAGATGGATAGATGGATAGATGATAGCTGGTAGATAAACATGTCAACGATGACTTGACTGTAGATGCAGATGCTGCTAAGGTCGCTGCGCTTTATTTCAAATGATGCTTCTCGAGCTGTGCTGGCAGTTATCGTTATCGCTGTTGTTGTAGTTGTAGTTGTTGAACGTGTTGATCGTGTTGTTGTTGCTATTGTTGCTGCTGGTGTCGCTGACTGAAGCTGCCACAAAGGGCATGCATATACATACATAAGTGGTGTGTAAGTGTGAGTGTGTGTAATTGTGTGCGGTTGCTTTTATCAGGATTCAGTTACATATTCTTTGACTGCTGCCAGTGGCGGCGGCAGCGGCAGCGGCAGCGGCATTGGAGTAGTTATCAACGTTGGTGTCCGCCAAAGGGGCAGCACCTGGCGGCGGCGACAGTGGCAGCGGCTGCGGCAGCGGCAGGGGCAGCTGCTGCTTAGTGTGTTTGTACGTGCGACCAAGTAAAGGAACATGCTCTTCTAAAATTAGATAGCGAATCGTAAAAACGAACATAAACATCAACAACATTTGTACAGTTAATGAAAATGAAAACAAAACGAAACAAATAACGAATGCAAAATAAGTACTACATGAAAAATCAATTAAATAAAATTAAACTTAATTAAAGCAAAAACTTGTTTATGTTAGTTATTATTCCACGTGGCATGCAACAAGCGCGCGCCCCAAACCCAGCGGCGCCCAGCGCAAGCGTGCAACAAAGCATTGATAGGCACAAGGCGCGATTGGATAATGGTTAGGGTATCAAAGAGTCGCTGCTGTTACACAAAAACCAATATTCGGCACGAGAGAAAGCGAGCGAGAGAGAGAGAGAGAGAGAGAGAGAGAGAGAGAGAGAGAGAGTGGGTGGGAGCGGGAGGGCGCACGCGGGCCAGTTAGCGAGTCAGAGAGATAGATAGAGATAAAGAGTGGGAGGGAGCAAGAGGAGTATTCTAGTTCTAGAGTTCAGTTGTGGACTCACCCTGCAGCTGGCGATTGATGAGCGCCGTCAGTCCATGGCCCACATCGACGCTCTTCTTCAGTATGAGCATGGGCTTGTCCTCAGCATCCTCCGCATAGCCGCCCGAGGGCAGGAAACCGTTGCTGGCTATCGATTCGCTCACCTATTAAGATATTTTTTTAATATTAAGTCAAGCGAGCTCCAATGGAAAATATGCTGATAAATGCTTCGATTGTCACCTGTGTCACCTGCATCAGCTTTTTAACCACATCGCGGCCCAGTATGTGATCGAATACAGTTTGCAGGAATGGCTCGGCCATTATCGATAGCTTGAGCTTGTCCCGATGCCAGATGAGCACACGCGACTCCTCCATGGCCATAATGGACACCTGCACACACACACACACACACATTTATTAAGATTGAAGTTAAGTTAAAGCTCGCTCTGGGAAATCGAATGCTTACCTGAAAATAGTCATCGGTCGAGACGCCAAACCACTCTGGCGAGTCTAGGAACTGATGGGGAAACACAATGTGCAGCGCCCGCTGATGCTGCGAGACGACCAATCTGGAAGGAGATCGAATATCAATATCGAATATTGCAATCGATTGGCATGGATCAATTCTTGGTGATCGTCACTCACTTGCCGCTTAGCACCAGCGACAGGCTGTCTACCTTGGTGACCTTCTCCTGTGCATAGACCTCCTGGTATTTCAGCGCCCTGATGACCTTCATGCAATTGAGCACCTTTCTGAACTGATGCCGTGTCACGCACAGCGGCTGAAATAGCGCTACGTACACCTGCCAAGCAGAGAGAGAGAGAGAGAGAGAGAGAAAGAGAGAGGGAGAGAGAGAGAGTGAGCAACAAATAAATACCATGTTGTAATTGTGGCAATAAAACGCCAACTGCTATTTATCCACATGGATAAACATTTGCTATGCTGGCCATTAACATGCAGTTCTGCTGGCTATCTTATCCATAAGGTTCTTAATTACTCGCGCAGCTCATGAATTTGATCACGCGATCTGTTGGACCCGTTTGAAGTGCATTTCCACTTCCAAGCCAAGTCCATGCTTATCATTTGTTGGGATCGTCTCCCCATTGACCGGCACGTTATTTACCCCCGAGATAGTAGTTACCCGTAGTTAGTTATCACAAGGCGCCCATTCGCGCACATTGAAAGTCGAGTCCAAATTGCTCCAGCAATTAAATTAAAGTATAATAAAAATATTAAGAAACTGTATAAATCATTTGCTTATCACGAACATATTTACGGGCAAGTCCATTGATAATCGAACGTCTTCAATGTGAACGAAACTAAGGCAAAACTAAAACCTTTTGTTGATTGGTTTTTTGATTCGGAAACTGGAAAATACGGCTTTGTGATATCAAATATGATTCTATTGGAAATGCAGGAGTCTTCCAAATTACCAAAGGAATTCTTTTTAACAAAATAATTATCTTTATGAAGTAAGTATGAAGTTAAGTATAGCAAAAAGCAAGTTTCTAGCATAATTATTCGATGCCTGTCTATAAAATATAAAAAGAAACCCAACATAACAAGTTTAACGTATTTATCTAGTTTTGATAATTTTTGAGTTATGAATGAATTTTATTGATATTATGAAAATAATTTCAAAAGTAGTTGCCAAGATTGACGACCTCGCAGACGGACGAACTGATGGACAGACAAGTCTAGATCAACTCAACTATTCACTATGAATGAGATCCAAGATGCTTCATTCAGTTTCTCCGATTTCCATGGGTATACAAATATTTTATTCTTGTATTATTAAGATTAAATATAATACAAACATATTATAAATAATACCATAAATAATTGCAACAAAAGAGCGCTCAAAATAGGATCGTACATCTTTGAACTAGTTCTTAATGGAACTCCCACAAGCCTTTTCTCATGCCAGCATTGATAAGAGGTCAGCATTAATCTGCATTTGCATGCGACATGAATGGAGGTGGATAAAGTAAAGAAGTTAAATATGTTGACAGGTTAACTGATCGCTGATCACAAGGCTGCTGAACTTGTTTGTATTGTTGTTGTTTTTTTGTTTTTTGTTTTGGTTGCAGGCTGTCGCACATTGCGACTGGGCAAATATTTAGCCAAGTGAGAGTGTGCGGGTGTGAACTCTCGAAGCATTTGCCCTGTTAATCAGTCGACTCGACAAGCTGAGCCACGGATCAGCTTCGCTCGGATCCGTAAAATCATGTGTCCAACGATCGCAAGTCCGTTGGCGCTGTCATCGCTGTTGGTCACAAGACGGCGGGCGGTCTTAAATGGGCCAAAAGCATGGTCGCCTGGCCAGCCACATGGCCAATTGTAAGACGGCATTCGGTTAGCGGATTTTCGGTTGTTCGTTGCCATGCAAAAAGTTTATTAAACGATTTTGCTGACGCAGACACTAGATATCCAATACGAGTCAGCCAGCACTAGCACCACCTCCAGCGCCAGCATTGGCCAACGGCGTTGAGGGGGGGTGGGAGGGGGGCGCGAGGCAGGCAACACGCCGCGACATGAAACTCCAGCAGTTTTGTCAATGCTCTGTCCAAAATTGGGCATCATCGTTTTGACAAGAATATAGAATTGAATTGTTGCCACCTTATCATACAATGCGCGTATGGCAACTCCGTACAATATCTGTCGAAAATATTGTACACTATTCCCTGCTTTAAAGGGCTCTTCACTCAAAGTAATCGTTTGTTTTTTGACACTTTTGAAACAATTTAATTTCAAGGCTTAATTCAGAATAGATACAATAACAGTTGACAATAAGTTAGCAAAGTGAAAAAATTTAACTTTTTATCAATTGTTTCCGCTTGTTAACTGCCAACCGAATTGAAATGGAAGCAATTTCACACAGTTCTTACTATATGTAGATAAGTGAGCAAAACTTATAATAAAAAACAGAAGAAGATGAAAAACATTTTAAAATTTCTTACATGAACAGGAGTATAATGGAAAAGATTACAACCTCTTGAATCCCTATCTGTTTAATAATAAAAGATAATCTAAATTAATCTGACAGTTCAAAGCACAACAAATATAAAAAACTCTTGAGTGAATTTAGCTGGATTAGTGTATTCACAAGTCAACGTTACAAAATTCAGCTTTCGTTTCGTCTGTTGCTTCTCTTGTTGCTTTTCCCCTTTTTTTCTTCTTTTTTCAAAGCAAAGCAGCATACAAACACATATAAATAAATAAATAAAATAATCAAGAGTTAAGCTCAACGGCGGACAAATTGTAATCCGGGCAGGTTTATATGCTGCCGTTGTTGTTGTTGTTGTTGCCGCTGTTGCTGTGTCTGACCGGCTTGGCTGCCGCATGTGGCGCGAGATTTGCAACAGCAGCGCCTGCAGCAACGGCGTCGGCGGACATCGCCGCTGATGCTAAAGTCACGTACGCCAGCGCCCGCTGCCTTCAGGCAGCAGACAGTGGGGGCCACGAGGGGCTGCCACGACTCAAGCCGCGACGGCGACGTCGACGTCGACGCTCTCCAAGTGTAAAGAGTAAAGCGCTCGCGCGCAGCAAAAGGTAACTAGCAAAAGAGATCAAGCTAAAATGAACCGAACCGGAACGGAACGGAACAGTTAAACCAAAGCGCATCTGTTTCCCTCTCCCTTCCACTCACTCTCTTACGTCTGCCCATGCGTACGTGTGTGTGTCCAATGAGATTAGTTTTGTGGCTGATGCTGATGAAGATGAACTGCTGAGCGACGCGGCGCGGGGCGACGCGGCTGTTGCTGCGTGGGATTATCTACGCAATTGGCAGATAAGCAAAAACAAATCCGTTGCGCCGGTCAATTTGCAATTTAATTCAATGAAAGCAACAAATTGAAACAAAAAGCAAAAGAATAAAAACGCGCTGCCCACAGCTTGACACAAAACAAAAAGCGGCCATTTGGCAATTGTTGAAAAATGAACCAGTCCAAACATTGCAGTTGAACAACGCACCCGACTGACAGATACTCTATACATGTTGTAATAATACATTTGAAATGCTGCCCAAACAGCTTTTTGAACACAAGTACATATAATATATGTATATGAGGAATTGCCGAAGCTTTATAATTGAGGTTTATATTAATTATTATTATTATTATTTTTTTGCAAGTTGACACAAGCTTAAAAATCTCCATTACAGGCTTTGCAAGCAGAGTATAAAACAATGCATTACACAATGTAGGGGTATAGCAATGACAGAGATAAAGCTAAAGCATGAGCACAAAGTCAGATCAGTGCAGGGTCCAAATAGTGTCAACAGTTTATTGATTTTGCTTATTACATGCTGATCATCACTTTAGCACGCTTGTCTACGATTATAATCGTTCTATTTAAAGACCTGGAAGCACATGCATAACATATTTAAATATTTATATCAGCTGATGTGGATTGATCAATTGCGACCGCCTGACTGCGGAAAGTTTTTTAGTTTTAATAATTGATTTCCCAAAAGAATCTAGTGTAAGGCCCAAAAAATTATAAACAGGCTTATTTCAGTTTACCATAACTTTCATATTTTATTGGCCGACTCGACGCTCTCTCCACAGTTGTAGTTGCAGACAAAATGTCGCATTTAGCATTTCTATATTGTCTAGGTCACATATTTCATATACGCCGATCTATAGTGATCGTGGCACAGTTTTTTCTTTTTCTTTACAACACTCGAGAGCGCTTTAGAACTGACCTGCCTGAATTGTATACCCACACCCACACTCGCACACAGACACACAGGCACACATACACACACACACTAGCACACTTGCACAATGCATAGATATGCCCATATTGGTGATCGTGCCATGGAAGCAACTACAGCAGCAGCCCAGCCAAGAGCCATTGAACCGAACCTGTTGCTACTGTATTGATAAGCTGTTAGCGAGCAAAGAGAATCGTGCTTTACTCTCTTTGCATTAAGAGCGACTGTCGATAGCATTACCAGCAACAGCCGGCGCAGCAGCAGCAGCAGCTGCGCTGGCAGAGCAGTCGTAATTAAATATTGCCACGAGCTTTGCACGCCGTACACCGAACACCACTGAAAGACGCCATTGCCCAGCAACCGAATGGCAGCACTTCCTGTTGGTCTCTTGGCCTGTTAACTGCTTTGTATACCCTGTAATCATTTAACTTGCCAACAAATAATGATACACAAGAACATTATACACGTAAGCCATTTCCGACTCCATGTAGTACATTAGATATTCTTGACTACCTCGATCGATTTAGTCAAGTCAGTCTTTTTGTCTCTGTCTCTCGATTTTAGAGAGTTTACATACCTACATATCGATAAATATCGAAATATCAAACTTTTGAAATCGAAAAAACCGAAAGCTAGAAACACCAAACTGGGTACTTTCATACAGAAGATTCGATTAGAATCGATAATTATCGATATTCAAGCTCACATTTCAGAGTAGAACTTAAAGACTAACCGTAATAGGAGAACCATGTTTGGTATTTTGGTTTTCGGCCCTGCTTAATTGATTTTTTGACAGCTCCCTTTGCTCCATCCAAAATCAAAAGATCTATTGCTCTTATTTGTAGTATATTTGAGTACAATTATGACCTTAATAAGAGCAAAAGCATAAAGTACTCTCACATAGAAACCTTAAATTATTTATATACTCATTGCAAACAGTAAGCAAAAGTATATTGGTTTAATCACAGATTTTGATACTTGCACTCTATATTCGTACATAGCCGCAGCAAATTGTTTGGCCACGCCCATATCCCACAGTTTCATCAATTTTGCAATTTGCAATTTTATCACTGTTGGCCTTTCTCTAAGAATAGAGTCAACCGTGTCGCGGCCACGCCCACCCGGCCCTGACAAAATTCCAAACATCGATACTTCCAAAGGTCACAGTTTTAAAGTCACTGCAGTCATCAATAAGACTCTGCAACTGATTTAATTGGTAAACACACTATGTAGAGAGTATTGCGCAGTCGGTTGTAGACGACTGCCTCGTTCTAACTTGTCTTTACTTTAATTTTATTGTTGTTTTTTTTTTTGCATGTTGCTAGCTGTAAACAAAAATGTCGATCAATTTCGTAAACAAGGTGGCCATACAATCAGCTGTTTACAGGCTAAATCAAACGCTGATAAGAGCAAGCGAAGGGGGAGATGAGCGGCAGCGGAGATGGCAGCAGACGTGCATTGTTGAGCCCTCGAAGGCGGCTTATCTGTGAAGCAGCAGCAATAATAACAACAACAGCAAGAAGAAGAAGAAGAACAGTTGCATTATAATGCTGAGACGCGCAAAATGCAGATAAACACGCACAAGCCGACTGACGGCAAAAGGAAGAGAGTGAAGGCGGGTAGCGCAAGTGAGAGAGAGCGTAAGAAGGAGAGTGAGAGACGGCAAGAAACAAAGGAAGAGAACATTGACCATAATGCGGGTCGCACATTTCTTTATTTTTTTTTTAACCGCTAATCAATTTGGCTAACAATTGTGGCAAATTTTTCCATGTGATTCACGTCGCGCGGCACGTCCACAGCTCACGTGGGCTGTGTTAGCCACACACACACACACACCCCCCTCTCCTCAGCAACCAATGATGATTGAGCGAAAGCGCGCGACAGCCGCTATCGGACAACAAACGAGCCCCAAAAAGCTGATCAAAACCAGAAGAAGCATGTGAAACAATTTGGAAGAATGCCATGAGCAGAGAGACAGCTGATGTGCCTGACGAAGATGCTGCTGCTGACGCAAACAGCAAACACCTTATGACTGGCTAGGCGGGGTCTGTGTGCGTCAGGTATTTTTTTTATTTGGGGACAAATTAAAGAAAAATCCCTGCAAGAACAAAACGTCCAAACGGGAAATGTGATGCGAAAGCAAAAGCAAACGCTGCACGTCCGCATTTTCGAGGCAACATCATTCAAATTCACAGAACCAGACCTGAGCTTCACGTAGGCCAATTTTGACTGTAAAAAATCACACGAATGACCCCAAAATACGGAATTAACTAATCAAAATAATGTCGTCTTGTTTTCTAGCTTGTTTCGTAAGTCAAAGTATTGAATGACGGACGTTCCGATTAAAATTGACTTTTCTTTCGCTTTTCCCTTTAAAGGCAAGCTCACGTTTAGTGAGCTAGAATAAGAGAACTAGTAAGATCGATTTTATTATCGAATATCGATAAACGCATGTACGCCGAACATAATGTTAAAATAATAACATGCAGTTCAGTGACAATAATTCAGTTGGTAACAATAACACAATTAGCAGGTAATTAAATTGAAATTGAATTTTTCGCTATGATCGATATCAATATAAATGATTAGAAATTTCCTTTGGATTGTACGAAACTCCCAAAAGACCTACCGTATTTATACATTTAACGTAGGTGTGGATAAGTCAGAGACCTTGAACCAACTGAATCATTCGGCAATAGAAGGATTAGGGAACGAAAACGAAAGCTAGCGATAAAAAAATGACTTTTTCATATACATATCTGGGTAAGTCGGTCGAAACTGACCATTTATGGTCGGTCAAGCTGACAAAGCTGAATCTTATTTATATATTAGTCAATATACATAATAATGTTTTTCATTCCCGTTTTCGTTTGATTTTAATATAAACGCAATTCTTCATTTATTAACAATCAATGTGATCCAAGGATATAATTCAAGTTTTTAATTGGCGTTGCCAGATAAATTATTATTAAATAGTTCATTTGAGTCAGTTAATTTGGCTTTCAATTCATTTCATTTGTTTACCTTATATTATTGTTCATGGTTCTTTTGACAACTGATCAACTGATCAACTATGCGGCCATCAAAACACATTTGGTCCATTTCTTCAGCCTTACGTGACATTCGGCACTCGGCAAATGCGTAATATTATGCATAAGCCGCTCCCCCTCGCCCATCACACCTCGCCACAGTAAAACCTAGCAGCGAGGCAAGCATGCAAAAACAGAGAGATCGCAAAAAAAAACGCAAAATATTTTGTTGATTAAAGGTCAGACTATAAAAAAAGAAAAAACTTGACAAACATTTGATTAAATTTAATAATCATGGTCAATTGTTGCTATTGTTAGCTCTGATTCAGGTGGTTCTGCGCTTTGGCTTGCATGCTCAAAGACTTTTGCCCCATGGGCGCCCAACACCACCCAAGAACACAAAGTTTCCCAAAAATTTCCGAGGCCTCAAAATCTCCAGGCTAACGATGAGTAGGCAAAAAAATCAAGCGAAATTTTAAACATGCAATGCCAAACGCCATTAATGATGAGGCGCCGAAAAAGAAAAAGAAAACGAATAAAAAAAAAAAACAACCGAATCCCCAAAATGTACAAGAATCGGCAAGTCAATATGTCATAGATATATGTTCATATATGTACATATATGTACATAGAATCCATAACAGTCCACTAATGACAAGTTTGTATGCGAAATGACGCTTCTGGAGGGCTATAAACGCTAGCCTAATGGACTGCTTACATTTTGGATGTCCGACTGGGTGTCGTTGTTGTCGTTGTTGTTGTTGCTCGTTGTTGTTCGTTGTTGTTGTGGATCGAACGGATCAGGTTGATCGGTTGGAGAATCGGCTGGAACGGAACTTGCCGCAAATAGATAATGAGCAGTTTGGTAGCCATTCATGAATGCGTCGATCAACGTGGATCCTCCATTAATGCCGCCTCCCTTCCCATTACCCCCCCCCTCCCCTTATCCCTTACCCCTACCGACGACAATCCTTACCACCAAATGCGGCTATCGACCGCGCATCAAGATGAGCAAATTTGTTTTCGCTGGCGACAGTTGACTGCGGTGTGTGTGTGTGTATGTATTCTATCACATACATATATAGAAAGCGATCCATGATAATTAATATGTCGGCTCGGCATCTCCTTGGCATGAGGCACACGTTCACAGACTATCACGTGGTTGCTGTGTGCCAGCAAAATAATGAATGAAGTCGAAAACGGAAAATCACTTAGCAAAAGGCAAGATCACTTTAGTAAATAACAATTATCCTAGCACGATCAGTAAGCTGCAACTGACCTCGACCCGCGTCTAGTGATTGGTGTAACAGGATGATTAAAATTATTCCACTAGTCGATCGGTAATCGGAACGGTTAATATTCAGCAAAAAATGTATGCTCAAGTTCAATTTTTATTATAATAATACTTGTGATCGTTGTTCCCAGTGATCACCTGCTTTAGATAGAAGATGGCAGTGATCGACCTTTGATCATATAAAACAAATCAAATCGGTTATCGGTGCTTCGAATGTACGTTGACATTTATCCAAAACAGATCACTTACTCATCGACATTGTCACCGCTGCTTAGCCAGAGACCGGTGACTTCCAAATCCCGCGGATATTTGGCTTTTAGCCGAATGACGTCAAAGGAAGAGCGTCAAAAGAATTTTGATTGCTCTTTTTTTTTTTTGTTGTGTTCGATGGGAAGAAAGGGCGACAAGGGCTGTCGCAGCTGGCAACAATGTAAACAGTGGGAACGACATTTTCTAGACATGTGTGGCTTAAGCTATGTCAGGCGCCCACCTCCACACACGCACACACGCACACACGCACATACACACAGAAACAGCCGCCCACCCCCATTCTACCCGCTGGCTGAAACTATGCACATGTGGCACGCATTAGCAATAGAAAACCGAGAACGACGCCCATTTGGCAGTCACATAAGTATGGTTAGGTGTATGGCACGTACGCATCCCCACAGCGGATCTTGGGCTCAGGCCCAGGGGCAGGTTGGCCATAAAAGCGCACATAACACAGCGCAGCGTGACAAGGAGCATTTAATTGCCTGCTCTTTAGCTGACATTTAAGAGCGCATGTGCAACAGGTGCTCGCTCTCTTAAGCTTGCTCTCGCTGTCGCTCTCTCGCTCACTCTCTCTGTCTAGCCTGTTGAGTGCCAGGGCTTATTCCGTTTGGGTACAAATTTTTGCATCACGGACTGGCACGATCAACAGCTGTCTGCCAGGCACTGCCCCTGTCCCTGCCCCGCCCACCAGCTGAGCATTACAGCAATGTGGATCAAGTGCACGATGCGTGCGTGGGAGCGTCGACGTCGCTGCCGCCGTCGTTGGTATTCACCGAAGCTGAAGCTGAAGAGAGCGCGCTGCTTGTCGCGACGTCCAAGAACTGAAGCTCACACTCACATGTACAGACGCTATATAAAAGCGGATTCCGTTGCTGGCTGGCCATTCAATCGCACATATTAACTCGTCGCGTAGACTTCGCAGCAGCAGCTAACAGCACCAGCCCCACACCCTACCCGCCCCATTGCAAGCAGCGCGCGCGCACTTAATCAAATAATTTGAAATACACAAAACAACAAGCAGAAATTTACTAATTAACTAACCCAACAACAACAACTACAACGAAACCAAAAGAAAAATCCCCCAAAAGTCATCAAAATTTGCAGATAAAAAATTGTAATTTTTTTTCAAGTGCAAGCAAAATCGAGTAAATAGCAAAAGCAATCGAAATTGTAACAGAAACAGTAACAGAAACAGTAACAGTAACAGTAACAGTGAAAAGAAGTGTAAAGAACCGTTAAGCAGAACATACAAATGCAAACATGTGCCACAATTCGGGCATTGAAAGTGAACAGATCGAAAGGTACATGGCCTTCGGTCTGCCCCAGAAAGCCGTCAGGAGCGTAAAATACACGATGCGCAAGCGCGAAAAACAGCAGCGCAAGGAGAGGCAACAACAGCAGGACCAATCACAAAATAACAGCGATGTCGAGGACTTCAGCAACAGCGGCAGCAGCAGCAGCAGCAGTAACAGCGACAGCGGCACTGACGTTGATATCAAGCCTAAACGTTCTGTGCAGCAAAAGCTGATAGAAACGGAAATGGATACTGAGACAATTGCAGTAGCAGAAGTGACCGCAGCTAAAACTGAAGAAGGAGCTTCTGTAACAGTCTTAAAAAACAGTAAAAGCGACATGTTTAGTATTCCAAAATTCTGTGGACGTTTTCGTAAAATGCAAGAACAGCAGCAAGAGGAGCAGCAGCAGCAGCCGGATGCTGTAAACTCTCCGCACAGCAGCCCCATGACAACAGTACCAGCAACAACAACAACAACAGCAACAACACCAGCTGCATTAACAGCCCAACAACAGCGCAAACTCAGCTCCATGGAGCCATCGATGGATGATGCTCTGGCAATTGGCACTCAAATGACACGCAAATTCGCTGAACGTTGCCATTGCCTGATCGCACAGCTGCATGGCACCCGCCTGTACACGTGAGTCTCATTTAAATCTTCTTTATGCTCATTTCATCATGTGACATAATATATGTACATACATATGTATACCGAAGAGATACAGACGACAAATGGGCCGCTTATCAGTGGCATTATCACGGCGCTCGATCATGTCAATCACGCGAATGAAGATTACGCCCATTCGATTATTTCACACACACACACGCCTCTCTTTCTGCACCTTGTCGTCGTTCTCGGGTGTTTTCAGTTTAATTTCGCGTTTACATTTTTTCTACTGTCTGCTGTCGTATATTATGAAAACAGCCAATGGGTGTGACAACAGGAGCGAAGGGCAGTATATAAAAGCCACTAGAAATGAACTTGTAGCTTTTTAAAAGCTCGCACTTCGCGCTGCACGTGCTTGCATCGTTGGCCAGAAAGCTTCTCTCAAGTGGTATATCTCTTGAGGTTAACGGTGGGGGGAGTGGCTCTTGGGCTCGTCATGTGTTATCAGAATTTCTGATGAAATCTTTATCACGGCGCATGAAAACTGCTTTGAAATTAACAGCTTTTTGTTTATTTATTTCTTGTTTTTTAAATGAAACGTTAGCACAGTCTCAGAATGCTACGCAGCTTTGCAAAATGATTCATCCTGCGTGTAACGCCCCCTGATACACATATATATTTGCAAATTCAGATACAGGTAGCCAAAAAAACTGACGATATTTTCTTATCACACTTTATTTATAAATAATAATTAAGGCCTTGACCATAACTGTGACTCAACGAAAAATTCTGTGGGTGACCCATTCGCAGGGGACTATTATGCCGTTATCGGGCGCTTTCCAGTTAAAAAAAAAAAAAGCCTAATGACGTCGTATCTCTACCATATCAACAGAATTCCTGCCCACGGGGTGCAAAGTGCGAGCCGCTATGTCGACGTCACAGGCGACGTCGACGTCGGCGCTGCAGTCAGTGCCTGGCGGTTGGCAACGTTGGCGACACTGTTAATTTACTGAGTCAGCTCTCTGGGTTTGACGGCTTATCGTAATCGACGGCATCGCATTGTCAGCTTGGAGAGCAGCTGTTCAATTGAACAGCTGATTTACGATTTCGCTCTCAGCTTCGATTGAACCTGTGCGCAGCAGCAATGTGCCAAGCAGCGACAAGTGTTAAATTATCTGGCTGAGCTTCTCCCACAGTCGTTTAACATATGCAAGTGCTAGCACACACATGCACGTATCTACGTATGCGCGTGTGTCTGTAGTTTGCAAATTTGTTGTATTAAATTTAGTGACCATTGTCGCTCCAATTATTGTTGTGCAAATGGCAAAATACGAAAATACATATATGTATATGTACAATATTTGGTTGCATGCTTTTTAGCACGTACGCCACTTTCGACTCTATTCGCCGCAATGTCTACCGATCGACAAAGCAGCACCAGCAGCAGCGACGTCGTTAAACGTCACATACATACTCTACATATGATCTATGCCAATACGACAAACCAAATCACAAAGCGTATGCAAAAAAAATCGTAAAACAGACGAAACGCAACAGCAGCGCAGCGCAGCAGACGCAACGCAACGCAGCAAATGCGTAAGCAGCAACCGCAAGTACAATGTTCGAGCAACGCGTCGACCGTCGCGCTCTCAGTGCAAACCACTCGATGTTAGATAAGCGCTCATTATTGCTGCTACTGCTGCTTCTGCTGGTGCTGCTGTTGCTGTTGCTATTGCTGTCGTCGACGCTGCCTATCTAAGGGGGCAGCGGGAGGGCCGTGCTATAAATATTGGCAAGTGCAAAAGTTCGAAGCAAATCTAATCGCGGCTAAAAAAGGGAGGTGGGGCGGCACGTGTACGAGTTAATATATGCATTTGTATCACACATTTAAAAGCCCATAAAAAGGGTAACGATGTATTAGTTTTACATTGTAAGATGCATGCCCTAACACTCAGTTTAACATTACAGCAACAGCTTAGTTAACAGCTTTCTAACTCTAAATCTCTCTCGCTCTCTCTATGTCTATTTTTTAGTATCCTGACGCGTACCACGCAGCCAGCGCATTTGATGGCCATTTTAATATTATCCTTTGTGCTACTGACCGTTGGACCCGATCTCAGAACGACAACAACGACGATGCACAGCAGCCAGTTGGCAACAGCAGCGATACACACAACAACAACAACGACGCAGGCCGCCGCCGCTGCCGCCGCAGCTGCCACTCCAATGGTTGGCAGCACACTGGCAACGCTGGCATATCTGGGCGCATTCGCCACACACTTTGGCTCACAAATCTGGATGACCTTTGTCTCGGGTAAGTTTCCAATGCATAATCAGCGTCGCTGCCGCTGCTGCTGCTGCTACTGCTACTGCTGCTGCTGCTGCTGCTGCTGCTATTGCTGCAACTATCGTTCGCCATCTTCATCAATCATCAAATGTGTCCATGTCAATGTCTAACTGAATGTCAACCAAATCGTAGGCATTATCCATAAAGCCCGCCCACACACGCACCATTCGTTACTTATCTTTCTTCTTCTTTTCTTCTTGTCTATTACAGGCCTTTCGCTGTATTTCTCGCTGCCGCGTCACACCTTCGGCCAATGCCAGCAGATTCTGTTCCCCAAGTATTTTGCGCTGAATGCAATGCTGAGCATCAGCATGCTGATCATTTATGTCAAATACTTTCTGAGCGGGTGGACAACGGCGGCGGGTGTGCAGATGGGCACACTGGCACTGACCGCTGCCATCGAGGTGGTGGTGCGTTTATATCTGGCACCGCCCATGCTTCGACTGATGCACGAGAAGTATAGGATCGAGGGCGCCATCGGCAGTGGCCAGGAGGTGGGCAGTCTGGTCCAGGGTGATCTGGTCGAGTGTCCGCATTATCAGCGCATACATAAGGCATTCCGGCGCATACACATGACCATTGCCATTGGCAATATGATTGTACTCATGGCCACATGTCTGCAGTTGTATTTTCTGGCATTGAAAATAAGAATTAGCTAAGACGCGAACCACTGGGAGGCCCAGGCAAAGGCCGCAGCCGCAGCAGCAGCAGCGCTCACATTTTCGGGCAGCGCCTGAAAGGCTGCCACGGGTTTTTGTTTTCTCCCTCATGCAAAAAGAATTTATAAATTTAATTTGTAGCGCAATTAAGTCACCATGACATCACACACACGCACGCACACACATACACGCATATAAAAGTTGATATTGTATTTTACTGTCAATGATTGTCTCAAATTAAATTATTAACTATATTCGCGTAGTTTATTAGACAATATATTTATAATAACCACATCAATAACAATTATCCCATGCATATACCACAATAAACTAGCTAAACGAAATATCGAGCTCAGAAATAGCATAAAATCATTTGTGCAACATTTTCAAATTGTTTTGAAAAACCTGTGATAAGACTCACCCCGCCTATAACTCAAGACCCCAGCCCATTTCCCAATCACAACACATACACACAAATAAACAATCACACACTCACGCACAAACACACTTAAACACACATACACATTTTGTAGTTTAGCCGCGTAGCCAATAATTTACACACAATTGTTAATTAATAGCATTTAGTAATGAAACATTTTTTTTTTCAACCCAATTTTTTTTTCTAATCATAAATTATCGAAATTATTTATTTGTTAAGGTTATGTGCATTTGTTTTCGCAACTGAAACTGAGAAAATAAAAAAATTCAAAGCAAACAAAAATATGAAATAAAAAAACAAAAAAAAAAAAACAATAATAAATACAATGTATTATTACAAAAAAAAAAAAAAAAAGTCTTTTAATTTGAGCAAAGCAAAAGATAAAAATAAAACTGATTATAATTTTAGGGTATATTCAACATTTGCTTAAATCGGTTGCGAATTAGAACACAGACTTTAAGCAGCTGGAAAAGCAATGCAAAATTTACCGTTTACCTTAGTGTCAATGCGATACCCTGCAAATATAGCTCACTATGAACAAACTTTGTTTTTCTAACTATCTTATTCTAACGGGCTTGACTAGAGCAGGAATGTCTTCGAAAATCTATCTGGAATCGAGCCTATTTTTAAATATCTGGACCAAGCAATGCAAATACGAACTACATTATACTCCGACTCAATATTGGGGCAAGAACCTGTGTTCCACCCCCACTGGAAGCGAGCAAACCGAGATAATATACATATTCCACAACTTGAGAGCTGAAATCCCCAAATTTAACATCCTTGACAAAAAGACAACGACCACGACCACATTCGCCAGTTTGAAAGTCGCTGCTCTGTAATTACAGTCTTAGAGTAACAACCAAGTGTGCAACCAGAGAGTATTGCACAGTCGGTTGCGTCCAACTGATACGTTCTGACAATGTATCAAAACAAAGTTTTGGTTTATAGCTAACTTAGGCTTTCTTTGAATCAATCGAATCAGAAATGAATCACAGAAAAAATCACCGAATATATGCGGGGTGTACATATAGTTTAATTCTCGATTATCCGGAACTTGTTTAATTATTTTTTTGAATATTATTAAAATTAATATTTGGAATATTTATCGGATTTTTCGATTATCAGCAATGATATCGCTTTCGAGTATCACAGATAATCGAGGATCAACTGTATATGGTATCGATAACTCCATTAATCATTTTCCAGTGTTGGTAAGTAGTGTGTAAGCCGATTGAGTGTTCACTTACCGCTTCAATTTCCTGATCGAAACGCACTGGACGCAGCCGGCAGAGCACCACAATGAGATAGATAAAGTTGATGCCAATGCCAAGCCCGGACCAGAGCACCACATCCGGAGTGCACTCAATCAGGTAGCCGTACATGCCCATCATGATGCACCCAATGAGCAGGGTGGCGCGCATCCAAAGCGAACCAAACGGACCGTGCGGCGCCAAAAAGGCCAGAAAGAGAAAGGCCCAGCCCAGCTGAAAGTATAGATGATGCGGCTGCTGCCAAATGAGGCACTGTTCGATCGACCAGTCTCCGGGATTAATCGAGCGCAGGGTGCCATTGTTATCCCAGGTGATGGTGCCACTGGCGGCACTGGTGCCCGCCGTACTCTGGGCTATCAATGTGCCAGCGGAGGCTGCAGCCACAGCGCTGCTGCCAGCACTCGCTGCGCCGCTGCCGCCGCCACCACCGCCGCCCACACCAATGCCCATGCTGGCGCTGCTCCCGGCACTGTTGATCAGTGCGCCAACTCCGACGCCGGCCGCACTGCCTCCCGTGCTGGGCATGCCGTTGATCTTTGTTCTCTCGCTCTCGCTTTCGCTTTCGCTTTTGTTCTCGTTATCGTTCTCGCTCTTGAACTCGTTCTCGTTGTTGTACTCGTATTCGTACTCGTTCTTCTCTTTGCCCACTCGTTGCTCAGTCTACTCGCTCTCGGCGTTTTGTATTGTTTGTTTGGTTCAGCAATTGGTTGTACAGTTGGTTGTTGTCTCCGCTAATGCGTATGTTGCCTTCACGTTGAGCTCTCGCTGCTTTCTGCTTCTGCTACTGATACTGCTACTGCTGTCCGCTACTACTACTGCTGCTGCTGCTGTCGGCTTCTTCCGGTTTGGGTCACATCGTTGCATATTTCACCCAAGGCACTTTAGCTGCAATTAAAGTGCACAAAAGGCAATAGAAAGGCCATAATTAAAAATCGATTGAAATCAATTAAGCTCGTTAAACGTTAATCCTAAATGTTGGGAGAAAACTCAGCTGACAGCAACTGAACATCGCCCATTAAAGCAAACAGCTGCTTTCAAGTCTTCTAAATAATCGAATTTCACTAACGAAATGCTCAAATTTCACAACAGCTTAAAGCTTGAATATATTTACTTAACTTTTTATATAACACCATCTCTTATATATCATATCTTGAAACAATATTTAAGGGTGTTAATTAAAAACTTAATACATACGTTAACTTTTTATTCATTTACAAAATGATTCTGCCCTGCATGACAATTCGTTCACCTCGTATTAATAACAAAACATTTACAAATTTGGGCACCTTCATTCCCTCTTCTTTAGACGGACATTTCGTTTGAGCAGAGTTTGCACTCTCTTTACTAGCCAGAGAGCTACAGAGCTACAGACACCAAACTTGGTATTTGATTTCTGTATTTCGCTTTTCGGATCCATTCCATTAACCAGCTGGACTCTTGGTTTTCTTGGCTTTATTGTTATTCCAACAGTTTTAACGCAAATCTATCAATATCTATTACTACTATAACAAGCAGCTGCTATGGGAACATTTGTAGAATATTCAATTGTTGGAGAGAATTGTAAATTATAATATAATTCATTTTATTTCAGAAGCTTAAAGGTTATAACGTTCTTAAGCCTAAGTCGCTTTTTTAACTGTCCATACTAAATATTCAATAAATTGACCCAATAATTTATTTGATAAGAACTGAGCCGGTAACACTTTTTAAGATAAGTTTATCGGTGAAACTGAAAATAGACATTTATTTATATACTTTATTAATATTAAAGTATAATCTTTGATAAAAGTCATAACATTTTATAGTCAACATAGAAACTTATCGGTCAAATTCCTTCATTTCCGTTTATGTGCTGATGTGTGCTTATGCCGAATGTAAAGATATCTTCGGCACACCGAATATTAAATACCCTTGTTCACATTTGCCTTACAGTTCTGCAGCTATGTGAGCATTTTAAAATATCGTGAAAAACAGAATAATTTCCTATGGCCTATAATAACAGTTAGTCGATTTCTCAAATATGACTCGACTTCGAGCGGACAAAATCTGTCTATATATATTTAATATAATAATGTAATTAACTGCTAATAGCATAGAGATATGCACATCCCAAAGCTATCATTTATTGATTAATTAAAGTAGAGTATTTAAAAACATGATCTTAAAGTCATTATATCAATTTTAAGCTGAAGGCCTCGAGATAAGTGTTGATCATAAAGACCAACAACAACAAGGCATAAACGTCCATGTAAGCAGATCCAGAACCTTCCGGTTCTATCATCAGCAGACTTAGCTACCGACTCTTGATTTTCGCTTTAACCACTTGAGAATTAAAAGCGACTATAAGACTATAAAGCCAAGGTATGTCTTGTACGTGTACCCTGGGGCATACCCCATGCAAAAGAAGTCCATTTTCTATTAACGAAACAATGGGTATCATAATTTCGTGATGAAATGCGCAATGCTTAGAAGGAGATGTCCCCGACTTTATAAAGTATATAAGTATATTATATATAAGTAACAACAGCCGAGTTGATATAGCCATGTCCTAATGTACGTCCGTCTGTCTGTTTCTTTGCAAACTAGTCTCTCAGTTTTAAAACTACCGTCTTGAAACTTTACGACATATGTCGGAACCGGTCGGATCGGATCACTATATCATATAGCTGCCATAGGAACGATCGGTCGAAGAGTTTTTTAATCCGAAAGCAAACGAGCGCGAGCCACATTCGGTTTTGCTGGAAGTTGTTTTAGGGTATCCCCTAGTTAGGCACTCCCGACTAGAGCATACTTACTGGTTTTTTATCAAGGTATCTTGAACCAATTCGGCATGTCTAAGTTTCACTATGCTCCCTACATTTGTGCAAAATCTTATCAACATCGGAGTCCTATATCATACAGCTGCATTAGGAAATAATTCTGTTTTCCAAAATATTTTCATCAAACTCAGCATTTACGAGCTTTACTATCTGTCTATCACTCTCATGTCTGCATGTCTGCCGAAAGGCAAATGTCTACAAGGGTATTAACTCTGCCGGAGATATTCCAACTTGTTCGTTTTGAATACAGATAGTGTTCTAATTAAACGAAACCGGGTGTTAAGTATAATTATTTATTACCATATTCGTGTGGATCTGTTCGTTCGTTCTTCTAATTTTTATACATATTTGTAGTTTCTTAAAAACTAAAGTTTTTCCTGCCTTCCGTCAAAACTTGTTGTCATATATTTAAAGAACATAAACTCGTAGAGGCAGTTAATGACGGAATGACCCAAAAGTTTCAACGTAGAACAAAACAGTTGCATTTTGTTATTAATGCATTTATGTTGTTGGACTTTGTTTGAAAAAGACAAGTTTGTCGCGACAGACAGTTCAGTATCATGTGTCTAGTTGTGGAAAGAATTTTGTTTACTTTATCGAGCGTCATATCAACAAAAAAGAAACTAATTGAAATCGGAATTGAGAGATTTGAAACAGCATTTAGATACCTCAGGCATGTTTATTGTCGGAAAATGGGGAAAATAAAAACCAATATAAACAGCATAAAAGGCAAACTAAATGTTTTTTTTTAGATGTGTTCATATAATGAGCACAATTTATGTTGTTGTCATTTTACTAAGCTTTATGGAAATCAATCATTCGCAGAGAAATTGAGAAAATGATTTTCTACCTAAGTCAATGACTAGTCAATAAATTTACTTTTCATTTGACTCGCAACTAGTTTCTGAGCGTAGCTCGAAATAAAAAACAAAAAACTCTTGACTGTAACCCAACTTTCCTCAGAGTTTTCCCTTTTTCCTGCGGGAAATCGTCTGAAATATGTTACCTATCTACGAATTCTTTCAAACAAAGTATTAAATTTCTATAATTTACTTATTTTTCTAATATTTTTGAAAGTGGGTTAAAAGGGGTAAATTGTTGCTGTGCAAACGTATGTAACAGGCAGAAGGAGGCATCTCTGACCCCATTATGTATATATAATCTTGTCCAGCATCAATTGCCGAGCTGATCTAGCCATGTCCGTCTGTCTGTCCGTCCGTATATATAAATGCGTCGATTGCTGATTCTGATTCGTTGATTCTCTTGGCCAGATATCGCACATTCTAAGCGCTAGAATCTTCAATTCAATGAGTAGTTCAATAGACTACTCATGACTTCCTTTAAGAATCGGGCACCACAAATTTTAAAAATGTATGTACTTTTTTAACCAATAGTTTTTTAATCTTGCCCTTTGTGAGCGTGGTGTCAATTGCTGTTTCAAATCCAAACGATACAATACTCTAGTTGGGAGTCTAGGGATACCCTGCATACCCATATAAGGACAAAGGACACATATACTGGCACATACAGTTGCTGCGGCTGTGCTGCTTCTTTATCTGCGCATGTCATTTTTTGATAAAGCTTCAAATTTGCATATCCTGAACACATTGAGTATTTTGCGTTGGTAGAAGTTTCAGGATATCTCCTAGTTGAGCACTCCCGACTAGAGTATTCTTAGCCGTTAATCTTAGAGTGCTAATGTCGGAATATCTTTATTTTCTACAACTATCAAAGCTCTAAACTAAAGATATATTTAAAAACTTGAAACCGTATTCATGTAGTATATTCTATAATACAACAAATTATGATGTATCTAGTCGTTTTTCTCAGTGTACAACAGAAAAAATATTTTTATTTTTTTTTAACTTTATGATTTGTTACACTTGCTTGTAATTGATTTGTTTCTGCAGAGCAGAAATTTTGCACAGATGGTTCTTTAGCCCTCGCATTTGAAAAGCTAACGAACAGCTTTTTAGAAAGGTCGAAAAGCTGCTTTGATGGCTCAGCATCTTAACGGCCATAAATCATTTATGATGTGATGTCTGGAGTGTATCAAGACCCAGCTCTGGACGACCGTCTTCTCCGCCAAGTGATTGGCCCAATTGAACGTGATCGGAAACATAGTCAAATGAATTGTGGAAAGTCGCTCATATGGCCCGCTAATAAGCTAGTTGAAAGCCATAAAGGCAGCACCCTTAGAGACAGACTAAAAACAAACAGGTTGTGCGTTTGACCCAAAAAAATAGGGTCAATCCATAAATGCTGAGGAAGAGAGCAGTCGGAGGGGCGCCCATAAGAGTTGGCCAAATAGCCAAATAAACATTTCCGGCATTAACATATGTACATATATCCCACTGGCTGAAACGCAATGGCCATAAAAGACACCAGTGAAAGGCAATAGACAGAGAGCGAGATAGAATGAGAGAAAAGGAGAGAGAGAGAGCGGGAGAGCGGGCGGGCGTGTTTGAGGAAGCTTCGAATAATCAATTTATGACAAAGTTCGTGGCCATATTCCGGCCTTTATTAAAAGCGGTCAGACCGAAGGCGCACCGCAAAGAACAACAACAACAACAACAACAACAATTGTTGATTACTCAACACTTTGCATATTGTGGTTGTAGTTGTTGCGGTTGTTGCGGTTGGCCTGGTTGATTGAACCTAGCACCAAGTGACACACACACATGACAAAAGCCAAAGCCAACACCAACGCCTCCTGCGGCATGGGGGTGTGCAGCACACACACACACATATATATATATATATATATATATATAGATTGTATATATATATATATATACATACACATCACATGCATATGTATGTGTTTGTGTGGACTGAAAACAAGAAAATGGTCAAAGCAGATGAAGTCATCGCATTTTGTTGCCTTGAAAAGCAACCAACAATCATTTTGCGATGGCTCAGTTCCCACTTCGTGGGTTGGTTGCGTTGATGTGTGGTCAACATATACACACACACACACACACACACATACACACTGATAAGTATGTACATAAATGTTCATTTGTGTTATACAAAGCAGGTTAAATGGATGCCAACAATCAAACT